ACGGCATCTTGCCTATCGCAGCTTTGTAAACTGCTGCCGGGGCTTTTTAGGACGAGGCATCAGAGTGGTCATCGTGTGTGTGTGTGTGTGTGTGTGTGTGTGTGTGTGTGTGTGTGTGTGTGTGTGTGTGTGTGTGTGTGTGTGTGTGTGTGTGTGTGTGTGTGTGATTTCAGGGGGGGGGTGATTGAGCGCATCAATCAAGAACTCCTCGTATCCTGCTGTTTGGATCATCAGGCCTCCTATAGGCCTATACTGTGTTGTGGTGGTTATTCGTCTGTAGAACAGGCTTGTACAACATGATGACAAGATATATTTTCAGGTGTTGAAAGCACAGTTTACTAGAAGAAGAGGTGACTTTAGTTTACACATTAAAGCTTAAAATATATGGTTGGATTCAGTTTTTAGGGAAACGTTGGCTATTTATTTTCTACTAGAAAGCCATATTCCAATGTGGTTTTTTTCTATTTACGCTAAAATAACAAACAGCATCAGTTTTGGCTTTGCAGAAAATTCCTTAGAACCTTCTGCAGTCCATCACTTGAGTGAATTATTTAATGTTCTCCCCCTCCCACTTAAAATGATGACGAGCTGTTCTGTAATGTTATTTGAGGCAGGGGCTGGAGTGGAGCGGTGGAGTCTACATTACTCCAAATGGCGGAGAAGACTGTGTGGTTGTTTTAACATCCTGTGGACAGTGATCTCCTTTCCCCATAAGTATGTGTTCGAGCCATTTGCAGACTTAATGGCTCTTTTCTAAAGAGCTTCTCTGCTGCATGCATTACTTAAAGTTGCCATGTGATGTAATGTGCTTTATGAGGCTCTGGTATGGCTGCATCAAAGACAAAGTTCTCTGTTTCTGTCTGATGATTATTTTGGGGTTACATTTCGAAATAAATATGTTTTTTTTAGTGCTTTAATATGGTGGCCGACAGGTACCAATGCACTTCAATTTCCCAAAACAATGATGAATGGTTTTTTGAAATGCTGCCCATGTGTTGTCAAGTTGCTTAAAATGTGTTTTGCCACATTGTGTTTTTTTATTTGCTTAGTTTTGGAAATTGCAGTGTGTTTCTCTGCTGTTGTAACACGTTTGCACCTGCCGGCCACCGTCCTTTAATCCTCATGAATGATCACTATATAAGGGTCAGCTACAGGTGAAATCTATTTGATTGTATTTCTTTATTTTCGATAGCCTCTGCAGCCTGAACCACACTGAATACAGATGGAGCTTACTCTGATAAAGTGTGGGGTGGAGCTTGTGTAATCATCCTAGTTCATGTTTTACTCTTCTTTCGATCCTTGTGGATTCACTGCCTTAGAAAAACTTCAATTGAAATTGTATTTTTGCCAATGCATGTCAAACTATAATCACAACACAGCCTCAATCTGTCCCTTTCCTCTTACTTTAGGAGATTCCATCCAATTTCCTGCCTAATATCCTCATCCTAACTGCGTCCGGCTCCAGATGTGCTCACTTACTTCAGTCCTTAACCAACCCACCGGCTCATCAACCAAACAGCTGTTTCTGTCAATCGAGGTTGTGTAACTATCTCACTTTTTGCCAAGCTTCACTTCTCTGCTCACATCGGATCTCAATTTCCAAGCTCATCTTCCTGCAGCTCTGCCTACAGCTTTCAGCTTGATATCCTGGTTAAACTTGCACTTCATAAAGTGGATGGAATAGCAACATTATGAAGCTGTGATGGCTCGTGCATGTGTGGTTTGTAGTGTTGTGTGCCGGTGTCTGAGTGCGAAACAAACAGCAGCTGGCTGAGTCTCTCCTTTAATGCATTGCTTTCTTTTTGTGCTCAATTTTAATTCTCAGTGCTTAAAATGACATAATCTGTGATGACACATGCCAACTAAAAAGCTTTTTGTGAGTGCATTTTTTCATATATATTATGTATTTTGAGGAACATACTAAAACGTCAATAAATATAGGTTTGATTTTAATTGAGATGGGTTTCAAGTTATAAAAGCATTTAAAGGAAAACACTGTTTATGTTCCTATGGTTTGAACCCATTTAAATCCTGTTTAAATCACCTACCAATGCATGCCAATCGCTTCGCATTTAATTATGTTTTAAAATAAACAAAGAAGCCATTAATAAAGTGATGTGGCTGTATGTCATGAATCCCCTCACATACTTGTAAACGTGTATTTCCTTGCAGAGTTGCTTCTCCTCCTGTGGGTGTCAGGAGACTAACCGTTCCTCAAAGATGATGGATTATTTTATCTTCATCTCAGTGTAAGGTTTCTTTTGTGCCTTAAAATAATAAATGGTGGCTTGTGAAGGTGGGAAATTGAGTTGTGATATCTCAAATCATAAAGAGACCAGCAAGAGAAGGGGGAAGTTTAAGGGAACACATTTAAAGGAAAATGTTCTCTTTCAAAACACTTTGTGACGCCATTTTCTTTACATTTTGGGGAGTATCAGTATAAAGGTTGCACATGCAGTAGATACCTTACTCGTGTGAAACACAGCAGCTGCAGCTGTAGAAAAACGCTGAACTTTCCTATAGATGTATAAATAGCATAGAAGGAAAAAAAGATGCCGTGACAGGAACATTTGCAAGAACAACAACTCAGTACTTTTACCCAACAAAAAGGTCCAATTCACTGATCTTAGTCTGACATGACTTACAATAAATCAGCTACTATTTTGTTAATCAAATAATTGTTTACTTTTTTAAAGAAAAGAGACTAAACATTGTCTGGTTCCAGCTTGTATCACTAACTGAATATCTTTGCACTGTTGGTCATCAGATACCTTTAGTTACCACCTTTTATGTTATCCCGGAAACCAATTGTAAAGCAGACTTTTTGAGGAATAAATTGTGATAGTATTCGATTATGGAAATACTTCTTAGCTGCAGCAGTCACACCAACACACACACACATGATAGAAACACCACACCCCAATCCTATGCACCGGAAGACATAAATAAGAAACATTGTCCTACATCTTTCAATACACAACAGACCACCATTGGCCTCAACTCATTACCCGAAAAAACCAAAAACCTAACCTCACTGCTTGGCCTTTCAGCAACCCAACCCAACTTCAACACACTCAGTCACACGTCTGCATCTGAACACACACACACTCGAGAAAACTTCCACAAAAGAGCAGACAGCGTTAGAGAGCAACATCAGACAACAGGAAACACCCCAACAACCGCAACAAACTGCACAGTCAGTGAACCGGGGGGTGTCGGGGTGATGGACAAATGGACGGTGGCTCGTGTGCATGCCGAGGTGTTACAATTGCTCACTCACCTTGAAGCGCCAGGAGGGCCAGGGTTAGCAGCAGATGGGACATCCTGACAGGAGAAAGAAGACTGGTGGAGGCTCTCAACGGCGTCAAAACACACACACACACACACACACACACACACACACACACACACACACACACACACACACACACTTCAGAATAGGAGATACAATACAGATCTAAACAGCAACTACTCCAGCTTGGTGGTGAAAACCTAGGATGTCCTGACTATGATTGCAGTTGATAGGAAGAGGCTGTTGGGACTCTGGGTGTGATGCGCTCTCAGTGTCTTCTTCTTCTCCTCCTTTTTTATTTTTTCCAGCTCATACAAGCGTTGAAAGGAGGGTTGGGTTGGTCATCTTGCTGATCATGGTCTTCTCAAGCACCTGCTAATCCAAACGGATGCAGTGTGGAAGATGTGCCTCGTCTCTTCGCCTGCTCAGGATCTAAAGCACTTTTTATTTTTCTGCAGACTTTGTTCAGCCTTTCAGCGTGATAGTGTATAGAGTTACCAGAGACAGGAACCACTTTGAGTTTCAGGTTTCGGCCCCCTTGTTAGCACCAAAAGGGCTTTTGTTCAACTATGTGTACTCTGTGGCACACCCTTTGGCCTCTTTAGCTCCACAATGACACACCAAATTATGCCAGTGCGTTGACACACAGGTTGCTTGATGGTCCTATTGACCATTAGAAGCTACTGGAAGACTGATATCTTAGGGACGACGCCTAGAAATTGAAAATTGAAGCACACTGGTGAGAGTCATGCAATGGAGAGTGATTGTGCAGATCAAATGTAAATGATAAATGTTGCATTAAAGAGACATTTAGCACTTTCCCCTTGTGTGCTGTAGATTCGACATGGGCAGAAAGCAGGGTCCGAGTTTAAAGATCCGCAGTCTGAGTGAAATGGCAAATGGAAGCAGTTTGAAGAATCCTCTCACTTGTTTGCTCCTCTTTGGCTTTGGAAGAAATCAGAGATGTTAGCTTTTATTGAATGTAGGTGGTATTGCCTCCTATCAGTGCTATTGCTAAGACCAACGTAAAGCTTCACAACTAGGCTACATTTCTCCTCAGGTTTAGCTCCAGACAGCACCTTATTCATGTGAAATCATCTGTGGTTTGTGCAAATCAGCTAAACCTTGTGTTTGCATAGCTGCTGTCTGCACACGGTGCTCACAGACTAGAATGCAACAGGACAGGTGGCTCTGCTGCTATGATGGGTCAGCAGCACTCCTGTTTGAAGGCGCTTTGAAAGGCATGTATTAAACAGCTAAAGGGGTCTTTGTTTACATCATTACCCTGGCTATTATAGTGGCTAAAAATGCGTTTTTCTGTGCAATAAAGCGTTAGGTCTATGAATTAATACAGAGTTACTGCTCTTTAGGGTGATCGTGCAAAAAGCTACAATCAATAGTGTTGAATTAGTGAATATGCTAAAAAAAATGCATAAACTCCTGTCTGTTCTCTTTTTCGTGATCCCATAAACTCATCAAAGAAAAACGCAGCGTATGTCACCTCTTTAACAAAATCCGCTGTTTTAAAACGAATAGTCTCCTCGCTAATATTATTTATTGTCCCCTCCTGTCCTGTCAGAGACCGGTCAGAGGGGCTCGCATCCCGCGTCCGGCAGTCAGATGCTGGGAGTCGCTCCGCTGGCACACCGAGGACCACCGGAGAGATTTAAAGACCGGAGCTGGACTCAGAAAAAAATAAAGTAACAAATCCCCTACTTCTTTTTGTTGTTGCTTTCAAAAAGAGACGTGCGGCGGTCAAATGTATTTTGAAGACCCGTATATTCTTCCTGGAGAAGCTGTAGGAGACGTCAAAATTCGTAAAAGCCGATGAAAATAACAGAAAAACCAAAACTAAATCGGTAATCTCCAGATGTGATGTGTCAGTGGGAGGATCGCGCGCTAATCAGTCTTTGGGATGGGTGAAGGCTGGGGGAGGGAGGTGCATGCAGGAGGAGGAGGAGGAGGAGCATTGCTGCAGATGAATGGAGGAGGAAGAGGAGGAGGAGGAAGTGAGCCGTTGTTATGGCAACATTGATTTAATGTGATGTTTTGATCCACTCCAGAAACAACCACATGTTGGCAAAGATAAATAAATCAGAATAAGTCTACGAGTTATATAATAGGTGGATTGTATGATATAATATCATGTAACATATTATGTTACATTAAACATACATTTTATTCCTGCATCTGCATCGGATCTAAAAGGATATTTTCAACCCATGATTTAAGATTCAAACGGTTTTTATTTATCACAAAAACAATATAATCCATGGTGATAATGTGAGTCTGAAAGAAGAAGATACACAGATAACGATACATCTTATAAATGCATGTGAAGGTGAAGCAGAGATAACACATGAAACATAGGATTACACAGTCCCTTTAAAGTGGAAAAGAAACACGCATCTTTGTTAAATCAGACCGTGTTGTGTTATAAATACAAATGAAATAAAATAGATAGCTTGAAACCTTTTCACTTTTGAAGTATCCAAGCTATTTGATAATAAATGTTATACAAAAAATGATTTATTCATTATTCTATCAAAGTAGCCCAATATGCTTTATGTTTGTTGTGTGTGCTTGTATAACAATAAGTCCAGCTTGTTTCCTCTGAGCTAACTTTGTCATGCTGATATGAGTCATCGATTGGTATTACCATCAGTTTCTCAAGACACGTCTTTATTTTCACAATGAAGGCCACAGCAACACACAACATTACCTGCTATTAAAATCAGATGTACAGGTTGCTAAAACTGAAGTAGTTTCAACCAACAATCCTGCAATAAATCCTCCCTCTATAAAAAATATAATGTCTATTTGTTGTTGAAAGAGAGGTGTTTTTACTCATTACTAATAACATACATGGAAAGTGTGTCATGTTCTCCATCTGCATGGCTAAACCGACTTTTCTACCCACCTCTTCCCTCCGTCTTGGTCATTAACCCACATGGAACACAAACATGGCACACAAACATGGCACACACACACACACACACACACACACACACACACACACACACACACACACACACACACACACACACACACACACACACACACACACACACACACACACACACACACACACACATTCAACCACATGAAACATGACCACAGGTTCACTAACACACTATTTGACTGAGTGCATTCAGTGCCAAAGGGACTCACTCCTGTGTTTGTGTTTGTGTCTGTGTGTGTTGGTGTATTTGTGTGTGTTGATCTCTCGTTTTGGCCATTTCATTATGCCAGCAGCAGGATTACTGTGCTGATTGCATGCCTGTCCTCACCCTGACAAATATGTGTGTGTGTGTGTGTGTGTGTGTGTGTGTGTGTGTGTGTGTGTGTGTGTGTGTGTGTGTGTGTGTGTGACCTTCATGTCCCTAATTCCACTAACATCTCTCATTTAAAAAAAAAAGTGGATTAACTTCTATGACAGCAAAAACGTGAGTATATCAGCGAGACATGTTAAGGGTCAACTTGGTGTATCGCCCACAAATACACATATCTTTATTTTTTAGTTATTTAAGGCACAGATTTTGCTGCTTAAATAATTTTATTGGTCGTCACTTAAGTTGTATTATAACTTTCTACAGAAATGACTTGAAACAACGTTTTTATGATCAAAGTCAGAAATGGTTGCCCTTTTGTGCAACTACCCTCAGCCACCGTTAGAGGGCGATAACGTATCAAAGACACATTTGATAATACAAAAAAAAAGGAAACAGAAAGAGTTGTGAAGGAAATGATGATTCAAACTTAGAAAAGAGATCCAAACATTTGCATTTCTGATGAAAGAGGAACGTGTGGGCAGGGGTTTACTCTTCGATGTTCCTATTCAAACGTATCCTTTCCAAGGAAATCCAAATCCCACTAAACACTGAGCTGTACACTCAACGAAAAAAGCAATAAGAATGAATCAATAAGAGTCACAACATGGTCTGTTTGTATATAATTTATTAAGCATTTACATATTCGGTTGTCTTTTATGCATTATTATTCACAGTGAAACACAGTTTACGTTGAGAACTAGTCAACAAATACTTCTTCGTCGGCCACAGATTTTATTTATCTCACGGAAAAAGGGAATAAGGAATGATTTGTCTTGTTTATATGCATGTACATTATATTACAGAGACATACAGTGTTTTGTGATTTGTTAAAGTAACTGGAACCCTCCACTTTAATAGTAGTAATTGTTATTGAATCTTGGGCTAATGCCTTTTAATTTAAGTCATTTGCCACTATTTAGTTTAACGGGTTGCTTGGCTTCCACTATTCTCACGTGGTCAAAAGATATTTCCCAACTTCACAATGACGAAAAAAACTGTAATGATGATGGCAGCGTCAACTCACAGATCATCTTGTGTGGGGTGCACATTTAAAATCACATGCGGCTATGCCAAGTTTTACTTTAAACCACCCAGCCTCATTCACTGGATACATTGCCACTCCTGATTGGAAGCTATTAAACTCCACTTTTCAGATTACATTACATTACATTGCATTTAGCTGACGCTTTTATCCAAAGCTACTTACAATAAGTACATTCGACCAAGAAGATACAAACTTGAAGAAAACAGGATCATAAGTACATCAGGTTTCATAGAGTCAGATAAATGTGGAAAGGCCAAGATTGTGGATGCATGAATGATGTGTAGGAAAAAAATCCTCCACCATCTTTCACTGCAATCAATAAGTTGTTGTAATTGGTTGGATCCTGTGTTTGAATGTGCAACCCATACAAGATGTTCTACATTTTAACACTTTATAAAAGTTTTTAATGCAATTCCAAAACAGGAGAATGGACCAGGGTCCTTGCACAGAGTCTTCTGAATTAACAGAAGTCTCTATAGAGCCAGAATGCACCATACCAAGACTGGTGCATTGTGGATTTTGAGATTCTGTTTGTGTTTTCTAAATGTTATGAGAAAGAAAGCCACATTTCTAAACTGTGCCTCGTTGAACCATATGAAGGGACTTGGAAAGGTGCTGCCGGTGAAATACAATGCAATGTGGAATATATTTAACAGAGCAGAAACTGTTTTACCTGCAGTCTGATATTATTATTATTATTATGAATAACATTTTCAGTCAGATTCCTCCACTTTCAACTTAATTTCCATTGCTAAATGTTGACAAACTTAGCACCTGTACATCAGAAGGGCAGTTATGAGTGCCAGCAGGATTGTAAAGGGAACCAGGAGGAGAGCCCCATACAGGAACCACGGCTCTGGGAACAGCATCACATTTAGCTCTGAGAAAAACAAAACAAATGATATGAACATTACCTTAGGATTAAATCACACATTAGCTTTCTCTATTCAAACCACTAGGTTTACAAATGTATTTTTAAAATGCGTGTAAGGTCACCATCTAAGAACAACCATTACACATTTGTCCAGCAGGAAAATACCTGCAGTTTTTTAGGACAGACTTACTGGGGACAGTTGTCATACTTGTCAGACACTTTGTTCAGTATCTTTACCATCTTTAGCCGACAAGGAGAAACGATTTGTTAAAAACCCTTTACTTCAAGGTTGGCTTAAACTTGAAGATTTAGAAGATTGTAAAAAGGTCAAACCTGACCACACCAGCTGTTAAAAAAAAGTGGCTGTACATTCTTGACTAATGCAGCAAAAAGGACTTTCATGTTTTCATTCTTTAAACAATACTCTATAGTGTTAACCATTGAGTGCAGAACAGCATGTTTAAGGGAGATTATTACCAGGCGTTTGGTAGTGGAAGATGCTTTTCGTTACCAGATCTTTGTTCAGGTGTAACTGACACTCGTATTCTCCTTTTCCCCTCAGAGGAACGGTCTCAGAGAGGCTGATGAAGGGCAGAGCTGCATCAGCCTCACCTGGAGCAGAGCCAACAGGTTGGAGTTTGATCCCATTGTGAACAATGGACAAAGAAAATCCGGTTCTCCGTGTCACGTTGACTCCACACTGGAGCAGAGAGTCATTGTGACCAGTGGAGTTGAAGAACATTGTGTCTGAAAAGAGATTTAGGCAGAAACACAGGTATGTCCAAAGCAGGTAAAAGTAAACACAATTGACATCTGTAGTGTTTTGTATATTTTACAAGAAACTCTTCCCCAACTTCTACATTTAGAGCCCCAGGTCACTGCAAGTCATTATTACCTTTAAGACCATTGTGGATATGCATATAGAAACCTAGAGAGTGATACAAATATCCTCTTGAGCGATACGTTAAAAGCAGGAAATTGTTGACAGAAATCGTATTTCTTCTACTTATCTATTAGTTGAGAGCTTACGATAGCACAAATTTGATTTTATAAATATCCAATTGCTTTCGAAAATTGTTTTGAAATCAATGTACTTCAAAAGATACTAACATCTGATTAGCATGTTCCTTTAAATCTCTCATCCTGACACAGAAAACCGTAGGCATGCTGAAAGCTGACAATGACCATTACATCTTCGTCTCATTATGATTAACTACACAAACTAAATTTGGGTGAAGGCTTTACAACTCTTATCAAAACTGAAAATAAACAAAAACTCTATGATCTTCAATACTAAATGTACTACACCTGGAACATATTTTGCCATGAGTGGAATATTTCCATCTATTAAAAAGTGTTTGGGCTCTAAAAAAGCGCTCCATTGCTTATTTAATTTTACACTAAACCAAGGTTCTATTTGCATTGTGATAATTACAAAAAGAAATGTGTTGATTTTCAAAATAAATGCACTCAAACTCAGTAAAGTTCGTTTTTTACCGTTTTGTAGGCCTCAAACGTGTTGGTCGTACAATAAGTAACTTTTCTGCACTAAAATGTTGTTGGAGTTATACATTCACCAGACTTTTTAATGCACCTTGGGAGTAGATGAAGCTGTGCCAAAAACCCACTCAGCGCATGAAAAATTCACAATAAACAAATCACAGGAAATATGTTGCGTATGTTGGTTATAGATGACGGTGCAGGTCTGCATAGAAGAATACAAAAGCACATCACAGCTCTGCCTTGAGCTTGATTCCTGATAATAAAAAGTGATTCATCTTTATCCAAGTCCTGTCTTTATCTTGAGCCAAACCCTTTAAACTTGAATATTTTTAAAATGGCTTGGAGAACATTTGGTCCCGCAATATATTAGAAATGAAAAATCTAAAACCTTGTATTTACCATAAATCATCAGTAAGGTTTCCTTTCCTTTTGTCCTGAAACGTGTGCCATTGTTGTTTTTGAGGGAGAGTTGGCACAAGTAACTCCCGGTGTCGGCCCACTGGACATTCTTTAAGAGTATGGACTTGTTTGAAGAGTTTTGATTATTGTCCAGACGCTCAATACGTCCCGTATAATTCTCAGAGTAGCTACACACTATGGACCCGCCACTGCTGCCCTCTGTTGAGTACATCCAATAGAGAATTGGTGGAGTCTGCATTCTCTTATCCTCATCAGTAAGACTGAGTTGGCAAGGCATTATAACATCATGCCCCAGAACAGCGGTGAGCACAGGAGGCTGGTAAACTGTGACCAGAGAGTTAGTCCCTGAAAAACAGAAATAAAAAGTAAATGTTAAAATAGCCTTTTTCACGGAAATGTTGTGGTTGCTCGCCCTGCAATTCTTTGAAATGTTGACATGATGATAGTGAATTGCAGCGACTGACTGGGTGCAAAGCAAGACACAAATTAGGTTTTGTATTTTATATTTTTTGACATTTTACCCACAACTTAATGGAGGAAATTATTTTGGATTTCTAATCATATTCATCACATTTCTTTTTTCAGAAGAAGAACATCCATGCTACCAAATGTAACCAAACATTCTCCATTTCAGACTGGTTTACCCAATAAACATTATTTAAAGTGTTTTTTTTATTTCCTTTCATTGATTAATTGGAGATGTATCCCAGAAGTTTATCAGCTTAAAGGGGAACTATCAGGCAAAATGTGCGTTTTGATGTCTTTTATACATAAATATGTGTCCCCGGTGTGTCAGGGAACTCACGCAGCGTCAGAAAATATAACCCTCTCTCTTTTCCTCCGTACCTAAATCTCTAAAAACGGGGGTACAAAGGAGCTGATCCAGATTTGCGTTTTTTTTTTAAAGCTTTATACCCAAAATCAGCACTTTTGAAACAGGAAGTGAAATAGAGGGATATGAGGCATGGCTAGAATGGGTGATCTGTTTGGTATTTTGAGCCAAACACTTCATAGACATGTTTTTTATATATTTGTATATATCTGAGACCTAAGCTATTGCCTAAAATAGCATGATAGGTGACCTTTAATCATG